TGATAACAAAGTGCACACCGTATAATCATTTATCAATCATATGTGTTTGAAACTGGCCTACTGGAAGAAATTTCATTGTGAGATAAGTAGAGCCTTAAGTACTAAATTTTTATCATGATGTGTCCTCTCCTTTACTTCTGTGTACATAAATTGTTAAATAAATAAATAATAAATAAATAAACTCGCGTATACTGTACGTGACTTTGAAAACATATAATATGTAATATGAATGTGGCCGTGGTAGGAAAACGGGAGATCTCCCGCCGGGCAAGGTGTTCTGCCCGAGGAGCGGCCGACACTCCATGTGATAGTTCGGAGAAGTTCTATGTATACTGTCTAGATTCAGAACGTTAATAGCACGATTTAGGCTTCGGTGTGTTTCGGTGTGCTAGTGGCGCGACGACAGCGCCGCTACATCACCCCCCTGCTCAGACCGGAGGTCGACAGTGCAGTCTCATTGTCGACGAATGTGCAAGTGCCACGAGAGTTCCTTGTAGTCTGCGGTGAGTCGAGAAGAAGGCAAGGAATCTGCGAGAGTGCCGTGAAGCAGAGGCGAGTAGTAAGGCTCAGAGCCGTGCCGAACACTGTATGGCGCAGAGAGTAGCTTGAAGGAACAGAAAGCATTATTATTCCAGTGCTGCGATGAACCTTGTGAAGCTAGATGGCTTGCAGGATATGAAGACTGCAGACAATATCTGCTCGGGAGCGAATGGGTGGGGTATTCTATGACGATGATGAAGCTTGAAGTTTCCGAAGGTTGTTTGGTTGCGTGTTCAGATCACGTCGGGGTCACCACTGTGGCCGTGGTAGGAAAAGGGGAGATCTCCCGCCGGGCAAGGTGTTCTGCCCGGGGAGCGGCCAACGCTCCGAGTGATAGTTTTTTTTTTGTTTGCACCCGAAGCACATATGGGCAACCCTCCGGAAAGCGGGGGAGGGAGGCGGTGAATGCTCATAGCATACCACGCAGCCGGCTGCGTAGTTATGTGGAGACTTTGGCCTACCCACTAAACACCGCCTTTTAGGAATTGGCTTAACGATCTGACTAGAGATCTCTAAGCCGTATACGAACGCGACCCTCCTTGGCAGAAAGGAGGGCGCATCGTGATAGTTCGGAGAAGTTCTATATATACTGTCTATGATTCGGAACGTTAATAGCGCGATTTAGGCTTCGGTGTGTTTCGGTGTGCTAGTGGCGCGACGACAGCGCCGCTACAATGAACATGAAAAACAATACAATATTTATGTTAATTTGTAATATAACGTGAAGATATAAAATTAGAAATTAAAACAATTATCAAAACTAATTTAATTCCTTCCCGTTTGCACTGTATAGTGTAATTTATACTGACGGCCTTACTCATAACAATATAAGTGGTAGAACCACTCTCCAAATATATTATAGCACGAATGGAGGTTCAAATTGGACAGGACCACGCTCTCAAAAAAAAAAACCAGCGTAAGAACCGGATACCCATTTTACTGGTAAGGAGCGATGACAACGCATCTGCATTTTGATTTTTAATCGAGAATAAATGCACACAGCATCCACTTACCATCAGGTGACTATGTGTTCTTATGTCGCCTTAAATTTGCGAAAAATAATAATTACCACAATATCAAAAACAAGTTTTACTCTGACCGGAGTAGAAAAAGCGAAAGAAATCCCACAGGCTGACATGTACGTTTCCACACGATGTTTTCCTTCACCCACACACAACAGCATTAAGCTGCTATTTTACGCTGGTATTCTGTGAAAGCGTGATCTTTTGCGGTCGAGCCGACCCATTCCTGCTACATAATATAGCTGCAGAGTGACCTTACCCTACTACGTGTATGCACGCATTCCATTTCAGTTCACAGTCGCTAGATGGCACCACTAGTATATCAAAACGCGGTATTGTGTGACCAATTCACACGACCCTAGTTGTGTGGAAACCCATGCAACGGTACCATCAGGTGAGCTGTATGCTCGTTTAATACTTTTTGTGAAAGCCACTAGCATTAATGTACTAAGGGCTTATATTGGTAGTAAGCAATAAGCATGGGTCATCGCCCGAAATTAATAATGTATCTCGAATCCAAGATTAACCACAATGTGGGATTAGTGCATGTCGTTCGATTGATCTTCTATCCGCATCACAGAATAAATAATAGTACTACGTCCGCATGCCAATAACTTTACTTGGCTATCCCAATTTTTTTCGACGACAGATTGCAAGCAATCCGATCCCTCTTGACCGTTCCTTTTGATGAAAAATATCGATTGCATAAAACTATAATAAGTGTGTTTTAAAAACAAATCATTCACGTAACTACTTAAAAACTCGTTCAAAATAATGTTTGTAGTTAGAACGAGTAATATTATGTCTAAAAATTTACGGAAATTATAATTTCACAGTCTATTCTTGGTATTAAAACTATGACATTATTTAGCTGAAATGGAATGTACGATGATAAGCGTCTTACGTTTGACATATTTTGATTTTGACAGGTCGTTTCGTTTTGATTGCGAGTTGCGACGTAAGTTATTTCCGTGTAGCAAACTTTAAGAAAATATTATCTCTTGTTCTAATATATATTAGTAAAATTACAGTAAAATGGATTCAGAAATCGTAAGTACTTATTGTTTTATATAATATGTTTCTAAGTTCGCGTCCTTTCTTTATGATTCCTACTATTCCCGCCTTATTTGTAACATTGATGTTAAAATCATTATAATTTTCTTTTACTAGGTAAAAGACAAACCTCTTACAAAAAAAGAGACAAAGTTTTTGCTTGACCTAATAGAAGGTAGTAAAATAATAACCACCGAAACAACCAACGCCACAAACAACTAACTAAAAACTGAAAAGTGAATTCGTTTGGCAGAGCAGTTTAATGCCACAGCTACGAATTGTCCGAGAACACCACAGCAGTTGCGTTTGAAGTGGGAAAATTTAAAAAAGAACTCCCGCAAGCGCAGCACCCAAATAAGGATGAACCAAATTAAGGCTATATATTTCTAACACATGTATATCTTTATAGTCTAAGACTTAATGGCATGTTGTAAAATAATGTTAAATCTAATATTCTTGTTGCAGACTGGTAGTGTTCCTGCCGACTATATACCCCCAGATGACATATTAGACCGGGTGACCAGTCTATTAGGAAGTACAGTCAGTGGGTTTACTGTGCCTTTTGGGGGTGATTAGGAAATGGCTTGTTGATATTTGTGGTGGTGCTATGTTAGTAATAAGTGGTTGTTGAAAAAATTGAAAGCGGTGCAGACACATCAAATAGTGGATTCAAGTGAAACCACAATCTCAACACCATTATCTAATGAAAAAGGTATTGAGACTGTGGTCGCTGACTACCAAGTGTTGGATGTAGTTGACCAAAATTTGATAACTCCTAATAAAACCAAGAGGCTTACATTTGGTACACCTAGAGCAGGTAATGGTTGTTTTGTCCATTTTTGATTTATTACCGATTAATGTTTCTTGTTTTTTTTTACCTCCTTCCTTTCTTTAGATTTATGTAATACAATATTTATAAATTTAACCTTGTGGAGGATTATTTATGTAAGGCTTATTTAATTGTGTCCATGCAAATAGCTTGCACATCACATACATCACAGGAAAATCAGACTGTCAGTCATAATCATTTGTGAAAAATCTTTTCTTTATGAGATCAACTCTTTTATGTTAATGGTTATAATCTCATTAAAGTATGTTAACCTCTTTACTAAGTTGGATATAATTGCTTTTTCTTCACACTGCGATCTTGTAGATGAGATGACAGAATTTTATGAACACTGATGTCTTTGAAACAGCTAAACATAAACAAAATCCCATTAACACATCTACAGTATTATTATATGTAAAATTTTATGAAAAAACGGTGACTGCACTTATATTGACCTCACATTTGCTTTGTTTTCCAGTGAAAAAGAAATTTAAGCCAGATGAGAACAGGGCAGCCAGGAACACTGCAATAGTTGAATATTATTCAACGAAAAAACAATGCTTGAATGCCAAATTAAATAATATTAACTTAGAAAATGATTACTTTAAACTAAAAAATTTAGAACTTAAATTGAAAAATGAAAAGCTTATGTTAGAGACTGAGAAATTAAAATTAGAATTAGAGAGGTTAAGAAAGCAATAATGTCTAGTATAGTATAATAACTTTAATACTTAATTAATCTGTAGCTTAGTAGTAGTAAATTTGAATATATAAATAATCGTGTAATTGTATAAAATTTAGGGAACTTTTGCATATAAGTAGGTATTGTTTTCAGCTTATATATGGTCTTATTGACCCAGTTGACAAAGCATTGTCTAAATAAATAGTGATGAATAAAATTATTACTGATAAAACGATTGTTTTCATTACCATTATATTATTGTTTATTTTTATAGTTATTTTGAATAAACCAACTTGACCCATTTTACGTAGTCTTAAATATTTAAATAAAAAAAGTTATAGGTACAGTGAATTCAGGTGTTTAACTTAGTCTAACTTACAAATACAATCCATTCAATACCTCAACTGAGTTATTTTTAGCAAACAATTGTTTTTTACAGAATTATTTGTTGACACCAAAATTTTAATAATGCATATAATTATAAGGTCTAACTTGTTTTGGACCAAGTTAAACAATATTTTAAAATATTTGTATAAATTCAATAATCATTAAAATAAGTTAAATTTTCATTTATTGCATTCCCTATTACAAAAGAATAAAAAGTCAATGCTGTTAGGCTTTCTCTACGTACTAGTCAACCCAAAAAGTCAAATTGTGTTAATATAAATCTTTTCAAATAATTTTTTGTAAAAAAAAAGGTGAAATTGGGCAGTAATTGGATTAAGGTAGGCTAGTTCTTTTTGTAGCATGGGGTTTTCTTAGGATTAAAATTGATACATACATATGAACTTTTGGCATTATTGATTTATTTTTTCAAAACAGTTTAAAAAATTTATATATAATAAAGCAAACATTGATTTGAAAAGTATTTAATTTATCTAAAATAATTATTTATAAGGGCTGCTCTTTCACTAACATCTTGAACTCCCGTATAGTACACTTCATCATTAATTTCCGCTGTTGGCAGCTCCACTTCTGTAGGAACTTCCTCTAAATTGTGGTTCCTACAAATATTGTGCAACACTGTGGTAGCGATTATTAATGCCTGAACCTTGGGCAATGATAAACGCAGTGTTAATGCCACAACAGGGAAGCGACGCTTCCAGACACCAAATGTTCAGAGAAAAAGATGAATGTATATTAGAAGAAGCTTGTTACAAGATTTTTTATTTTTATTATTATTAAATAATATGGTAGAATTGAGAAACTTCTCCTTTTCTGCTAAAAATAAAATACCTAATACTTGTTAGACATAAACAAAGTAGTTACCTTTCAATAACATTTCTAGTTTTTATGTGTGCTTCATTATAGCGCTGTTCAGCTTCAGTAGCAGGATTTATAATAGGTGTTAACAAATATGGCCTGTTTGGGTAAGCGCTGTCCCCAAGCATCCAGTGGTTACGAAACAGACCCGCATCACATTGTGCTATAAATAAAGACATATTTAATTAAATTATTTTAACATTGAAATATAAGAAAAGCTAACAAAACTATTAAAATATTCAGAAACCTCTAAGAATTGAGTTGTTATATACTGTTTCTCTTTTTTTCCTCTAAGAATTGAGTTGTTGCATCGACACATGTGTCGAGCCTGGCCAACGGGCAATCACGTTCATGAATCTCAAATCAGCATCACAGATGGCTTGGACATTTAAGGAAAAGTAACCTTTACGATTCCTAAATTCTTCACCAATTACATGACCTAGAAAAAAACATAGTAAGTGTACCTTTTTTATAGAATAAGAGTGACAAACTAACATGCAGTTCACCTGGTGGTAAGAAGATGCTGTTATAGACCCACATTTGTTCTACTTCTTGTTGGGAGTATAGTTCTTCCCCTTTCGAGCCAACCCATTTGTAGTACATGTTAAAGTGTAGCCATACCACATACTTAACACATTAACTGCCATGTCAGGCACCGGTGCTTGACAGACATGGCACCTGTTAAGGCCATGTCAGTCCCGGGTGACTGACGCCACAGTATATAATGTAGATGATCTCAGGGAGCTGTCCGGCACGTTTAGCTCGTTATTATCTATTAAAATTGACCGACAAGGCCCTGGAAAAACTATGTTCAACTTGGCCTAACGTTTTTATATTTAGAACTGGATTTATTTAGGTTTTATTGGGAAAAATAAAATGCGACACAATGAAACTATAAAAAACTTTTTATTGTTCGAAATAATCATATTTCGGCCAATACAGCTTAGAAAATTATAAAAAAAATGCAATTTAGAGTAATGAAATGCAATAATCAGTCAAGGAGTCCAAGGGAAAGTTACATTGTTTTATGTTCCTCGTTGAAACAAGATAGGCAAAAATGTGGTTCTTTAGGGCATTGTGGGCAATAAGTATTCACTTGCTTAGTCTTCTTTCTAGCATAATTTCTGTCTATTGTTTGAACATTTACTTTATAACACCGTGAACAGTACTTTCTAGATTTTTTTACAGGTCCTTCTTTCTTTTTTAGCTCATGCTTTTGCCTCCTATTTCTTGTCAATGGCATGTCAGGATTACTGTTTTCTTTGCCCGACTCTGTTAGATTTTTGCACAACTTTTTCCTATATTCTACTATCCCTATTTTAGACTTCGTGGTTTCTTTATAAATTATGTAAGAATTGAGTAATGCAATGTTCAACAACAGTTCAACACCAAGTTTTCTGTACCATTTTACACTTTTTCTCAAAGGTGTTGAGTATGCGATCATCTGATCAGATAGGTCTACAGAAGATTTTGCGTTGTTATAATCGACTACAATTTTCGGTTTTATTATTTCTTTGTCTCTTTTGCAAGTGCTTGTAAATCAAATAGAATGTTTCGTAGACAGTAAATAAACATCCCTTTTATCCTTCCATTTCATACATGTCATACCATCTTCATTTTCTTTAGCTCTAAACTCTCCTTTTTTTATCTTTCCGTTTATAACATCTTTAGGCAAATATTTTCTAGTTTTACGTAAAGTGCCCACAAGATGCGTTTCTTTGTCCAACAATTTGCGTCCAAGATCAATACTGGTATACCACTTATCGGTATATAATGTATGACCATTTTGAAGATATCCTTCCATAAGTGACATCACAACATTGGTTCGGGTTGTAGTTTCGGTCTCACTTCTCTTTCCCGCATATATTTGAATTCTGTTAGTGTAATGTCGCCTCTACACGTTGGCCAACACAGTGGCGAATGTAGTGGCCAATAGCATTGGCCAACGTGTAGACGGGGTGTTTGGGCTTCATTGGTATGTATTGGAACGATGGCCCACAAGTTGGCGCGAGATCCGTGTGGTGTCGGTTTTTTACAAAAGATCAAAGGATTGTTGCGGAGTTTGGTCGCCGCGTCCACACGTTGGCCGCGCGTTTAGTTTGCTACAAGCTCCCAGAGTGATTACACGAATCAGATTTAAATTTTATATTCAAGCTTTGTAGAGTGGATGCCCCAATTACCAGCCTTTTAGTGCCAATTTCAACTTTAAACATTTCTACTACTTTAATTAGTGCGATTTAATTATTTTTAAACATTTGTTTTAATCGATTAACTATTTATCAAAAAAATAACGAATATTTATTTACAATCAGATTATTACGAGAACAATTTTAAAATGAAAAAAAAAATTAAGCACGTCGTTTATACGTGGTAGAACCATGCAGTTATATTAGAAGTATAGTTGCAGCACGAAGGTCGGCTCGACCGGGGAAGGACAACGCTCTCACAGAATATCAGCGTAAAATAGTAGCTTAATGATGCTGTGTTTCGTATAGTGAGTGTAGAGAACCAGAGACCCTTTTTAAAGGAAACGAGGCATTTCATCTTAGCCCCCACGGGTGACAACGCATCTGCATTTTGATTCGTAATCGAGGATAGATGTAGATGTTTTGGGCCACAGTAACCACTTACCATCAGGTGCACTGTGTGCTCGTTTGTCACACTATCCTATAAAAAAACGTCGATTTCTTATAATTTAATCGTGCAAGATTTCGTATCATCATCATCATTACAGCTGTTCACAAGTCCACTACTGAACATCCTCCTCCACAGACTGCCGCAAAGCATGGTCCTGAGCCACTTTGCTCGTCATGAGTTTTTCATTTATGTTCTAAGTTATAATTAGTACCTATTATTAAGGCAGTGTTAGTTATATTTATTGCTATTGTTTTTGTCTTTCTCAAAAAATAATTAAATTACCAAATAAATTATAAGGTGTTTTTTATATACATCAAATTTCTGATAGAAATGCAAGTAAATATTTTGCAAAACTTTAAAATCAAAACCCAATTTTAAAACATAGACTAATCGATTATAACTCCTTTAACTTTAAAATAAGTTAAGTTGTTATTAATGGTATTTATTCCAGTTTATGATGCATGTAAAGAATAAATAAAGCTAATCGTATATCTATTTACAGCCCCATTAATAACCACTATTATTTTATAATTCTTTTATAAAAACATTAACCCCACACTAGGATTTTCTCCCGTATCGCGCAGGCAGTTTACAAACATAAATTGCACAAGGACACACATCCAGACCCGAAATAATTATTTGTAGGACATACAAGTACTTGTTTCGTGCGGGATCAAACCCGCGGCGCCCGGCGCAGCCACTCATTGCTGAGCCACTGCGCCACGGTGCTTATAAATTCGTCCGCATATTGGCCCGAACCGAAGTAAACTGAACGGCCTTCCAACGTGTGGACGCCGTCACCAACTCTCGGCCAATATATTCGCCACTCCATTCGCCACTGTGTTGGCCAACGTGTAGAGGCGACATAACCTGGATTAGACTACATAATTTAAAAACTTTAATTCCATATTTGTGCCTCTTCAATTTGATATATTGTCGGAATATAATGCGACCCCGAAATGGTACCAGAGACTCATCAATACAGAGATTTTCTTGAGGATAGTAATATGTTTCAAAGTTGAGATTCAAAGTATTTACCAATTCACGTATTTTGAACAGACGGTCGCCATATCTTTGGTTATCATTGTTAGAAAAATGTACCATTCGTAACAAAATTTCAAACCTGTTACGAGACATACCGTACGCGGGAAAGATTGACAAATCAGGGGGTCTGTTGACCAATAATCAGCTAGCTTAGGCAATCTAACTATGCCCATATATAAAATCAAACCAAAAAACCTTTTGATTTCGTCTTGGTTTGTATCAGACCAACTAAGCAGTCGCGATCCTCGTTTTATTTGATTTTTTGAACTAAGTTTAGTAATTGTCTGAGCAGCAAATCGGTTGGTTTCCATAGCTATATCATGAAACACACTATCCGGAACTAACAAAGAATAAAAATCCTCTGGTTTGGATTTTGCCATCATATTTCTCAAACTATAAGGTTTCAAACCAGGGCAGTCTGTGAAAGGTATAATTCTTCTTTGCTTACCCGCTGGTTCATACCATAAATCGCTCTCAAGCCTTGTGCTAACCTGCTGTTCTGGGTTTTCATCTTCGTCACCATAAGCGCGATGTGGCCAATTGGCTTCATTTCATGTTGCCATTTTAGAGTGCGGACAACGTATCTATAAGTTTATACATCATTGGTTGTAAACCAGTGGTTCACAGGGTCACGTCAGCGGGTAACTAGCCGCTGTAGTCGAGTAAAAAGTACGAAAGAAGAAAGAGTTTTAGAATAAACAGTCTACGTCCAACCTCGAATTTGTCTCAGCGGACACCGGAACAGACTAACTACTAACTGGAGTAATTTATCGAATGGCACTGGCTGTGGCTAGCATATTATATCAATGTACTCTGTGGCATTGGCAATGGGTGGCCGTTATATTCCGTGCGAGGCAAACTGACGGAGGAACTGACTTTGACCACTTGTTATAATTAAGTTTTGCCAGATTTCAATTATAAATATCTGCAAAGTACACCGTGTTAGTAAAATATCTGATAGGTACATGATTAAATAGCGATTGATAGGCCTATTATACAACACTGATTCAGGGTCCCTATCCCCTTAACAAGAGAGGTGTAATAAGTTAAGTCAGTAAGGGTCCCTGATAAGGGCGTCAGAGTAAACCCGGTCCGCCTTACTCACTTAGCGCGCTTACCACCGTGCAGTGTAATAATACATAAGGTAGTTTTTGCACTTTTGACATGCGCGACGAGCACGGAAAGCGTCGCGCAGTCATTCCGAACAAAGAAAAAGGAGTGTTGTTGTCTGTAATAGACATGTACAAAGATTTTCCTTATTTGTAGAAGAAGAACCACAAGGACATAAGAAATGGTCGTTTTAAAATATGCAGGTGTGACAGCCATTGCAATAACGATATTTTAGAGCCACGCTGCAGCTATATTATGGTTGTAGCAAGGATGAGTCGGGTCGACCGGGTAAAACAACGCTCTCTCAGATTGCTAGCATAAAAAAGCAGCTTAATGTTGCTGCAGTTTCATTTGGTGAGTTTAGAGAACCGGAGGCCCTTTTTACTGGAAACGAGGTATCCGTATTTTGCATTTTGAATCTTCATAGAAGATAAATATAGAAGTACGTGGATCGAACAAAAAACAAAGGGTGGAAACGAACTAGCACACAGTTTGAAATCCGTATTCTATAAAAAATTAAAAATTACATGACGCCCAGCTGCTCCAAAATTCCTTTGAGTGAGTAAGGGCCTAAAATAAGAGTAGTGTGAAAGAATGTCTCTGATTTGAGCCACGCCCACCCTTAAATCAGAGCCCTGATTGAGTATAGTGTAATAACCCATAGGATAAAATGATGTAAATTCTCTTCCGTTGCTACTATACGGCATGGGTCTGCCTCGTTAGTCTAGTGCCTCGGTATTCGTAAACGCTTTGGATGATCATGAGGTCCCGGATTTGAATCCCAGGTCAGACCAAAGTAAGTTTAATTTATAGGATAGGGGTGACAAACGAGAGCACAGTCCACCTGATGGGTAAGTGGATGCTGTGGCCTATAAATATCTACACATTGAAACACTACACACTGAAAGACTAAGATGGAATGCCTCGATTCCAGTAAAACGGGTCTCCGGTTCTCTACACTCACCATATGAAACACAGCAGTATTAAGCTAGTATTTTACGCTGGTATTCTGTGAGAGCGTGGTCCTTCCCCGGTCGAGCCGACCCATTCCTGCTACAACCATAATATTGCTGCAGCGTGGCTCTGCCACGTACGAACAAGTCAGTGGGTTTTTCTGTCTAGAAATTTTCAGTAGCAGCACAGAGTCTCGAAGTTGGCGGTATTTCACCCCCGTGCTTCGAAAAGTATGTATAGCCCCCTGCGCCTGATCTTTCTGCGGTCGTGTTGGTTTACCGTCCCATCGGACTATGAGTATGAGAGAAAAGAAAGCAACTGTGCTTGCGCATACACTTGGTTATTAAAATCCTGCCTTGCACGGATGAGTAGTCTCCGTCAAGACCAAAATTCGGTCTGGAAAACATTATTGTTACGGCATGGTATGATATGAGATACATATTTCATCGACACTTCATGATTACATCGTATTACACAATGAATAAATGATAGAGGTTTGTTATGTATGAACCAGAGCTTGGAGCTTGGAAAAACATCCGAGTGAACTTTACCTGAATAGTAATGAATCCGTGCACATATAAATAAAATCTCTCTGTTATATCGAAATAACTGCCTTATTTGAGCTGAAAGATTTATTTGCGAGCCATTAAGACATGAGAAACCATTTATTTATGTTTGTCTGTCTGTTTGTTCGGGCTGCTCTTTGAAGTGGCAGAACCGATTGTAATGAAACTTCACAAACAGATAGAGAGCAATACCAGGAGGGATCTTTTGTCCAAAAAACTTAGACATTAAAAAAACGAAAAACTTATAAAATAAATGGTCTTAAATCTAAGCATCCTATCCTAACCAGGCGTAGTTATGAATTAATAGGAAGCCAAGTATAACACAAGTTGAACGTTTACGCATTTAGCGACCGAAATAAATTGATATAACTATTTGTTTTCTAACCTAATAGCATAAATCATTGATTTATATATTAACTCAATGGCATAAATTCATAAGCGAGTGATTTCATACCGATAGTATCGGGTTAAAATACTCGTAGGTCAATATTTGTCCGGTCGA